ATCTTTTTTATATATATATTTTTTTATTGATTTTAGAATGGGAGGGGGGGAGAGAGAGAGAAACATTGATGAAAGAGAATCATTGATTGGCTGCCTCCTGCATGCCCCTTACTGGGGATTGAGCCTGCAACCCAGGCATGTGCCTGACTGGGAATCGAACTGTGACCTGGTTCATAGGTCAACACTCAACCACTGAGCCACACTGGCCGGGCCCCTGATAACATCTTAACTCCTCCATATTCTTTCACAGCAAGACCCCTAGAAAAGGCTTTGTGGAGGTGACGGAACTCACGGATGTAACGTACACCAGTAACTTGGTGCGCCTGAGGCCAGGCCACATGAACGTGGTCCTCATCCTGTCCAACTCCACCAAGACCAGCCTCCTGCAGAAATTCGCTCTGGAGGTCTACACGTTCACTGGGTAAGTGCGTGTGAGAGAGGGAGGGACGGGGAGACAGCAGGCACATCTGGGAAGGAGGGGAGTTACATCCTTTCCTCTTGGGCCGGGAGGAGCTTTATCCGTGCAGCGGTGTTGGCTGTGACCTTTCTAAGCCAGAAGTGGGAGCCATCCTGAGGGCGCCTTCTTTGCCCCTTGACTTCATGCCCCCTCAGTTCTTCCCGGGGCCCTTTCAGGAAACTGACTATTCTCCAGCTCTTGTGTCTTTTCCTGGAGCTGGACACTGAGAGTGACGTGACACCCAGCAAGAGGCCGGGGGTGAGGGGGGTTGTGGGGGGGGTGTTGCTGTTGGGGCGCCCTCAGCTCCCACAGGATCCTGCGTGGTGTCTGCACCTGGCCCCGCCCGGCATGAAGTCTGACAGGTATTTGTGTTTCCTGCAGCTGAGTGTCAGGAAGCCTTCAGTCCTCACTCTCTTCCTCCACAGGAGCAGCTGCCTGCACTTCTCCTTCCTGAGTCTCGATAAACACAGAGAGTGGCTGGAATACTTGTTAGAATTTGCTCAGGACGCAGCCCCGATCCCAAACCAGTATGACAAGCACTTCCTGGAACGTGACTACACGGGTTATGTGCTGGCTCTGAATGGCCACAAGAAATACTTCTGCCTCTTCAAGCCCCAAAGAGCAGTGGAAGAGGAGGAAGCCTTGGGGGCAAGTGATGCTGACCCCTCCTTGCCCCCGGGGGAATCGCGAGGGCAGGCCGGCAGCCTTGGGTCCAAGCCCATCAAAGGGAAACTAAGCAAGCTGTCCCTGTGGATGGAGCGCCTGTTGGAAGGCTCCTTGCAGAGGTTTTACATCCCGTCCTGGCCTGAGCTAGACTGAGGGGCAGCAGCAAGAGACTTGAACTCCTCAGACCCATTGCAGGCCCCTGCGCACAGGTATTTATTTGCAGGACTCAAACTATCACCACGGACAGAGTCTAGGTTTTAGATGATTCTTCTAGAGCAGTGGCCAGAAGAACCTTTCCTTTGTCCTGCTTTGTCCTGTTCTAACCTAGGAGTGAAAATATTTTCCTTTGGGATTTTCTTTCCTGTCTGAATGCCGCACTATTTAAAATAGACCGCTCGTCCCTCTTCCCTACGGTCCTCCCACGCTCACACCCCCTCTCCTGTCCAGTGTCTGTGCCCGGGAGCACAGACATTTGCCCTGCAGCGGTACCAGGAGCCTGGTGTGCTGGTCGCTGGCTGGGGTGTTCACCCGCCTCCCCCCCACCCCCATCCCGGCCGCTGTGCTTCTGCTGCGGTGCATGCTGTAACAGTGGGACAGCCCACAGCAGCTTCTGGGCCCCACGGCCTGAAAGAGGCCGGGTCCCAGCAATCTTACGTTTAGCGGTCTTTGTGGTAGTAAGTGGCTAACGGATATTTTGGGGGTATCCCCCTACTGCAGTTTGTCAGCCATGGTTTTAAAAGCATAGGGATGAGTGGGGGTTCTGCATGTGAGTTTGGGTTTCTTCCCAAGGCAAGAGGAGGACTGGGCAGTGACTGAAGTGACCCCTTCCTGAGCGTCCCATCAGCCGCCTCCCCAACACGAGAAGTAGCCGAGAGGGATCCGCACGGCAGAAAGTACTGTAACGACTTGAGCCATTTACGCGTATGTTTTTAGATGCCTTTCTGCCTCTGTCAGTCTTAGGGTATGGATATTAGGAGCCATAACTTTAACCTTGTTCTCTGAACGTAGAGATAAGCTGCTATAAGCCAGTAGATGTTAAACTGAAGACAAATTATTCCCACCTGCCACGAGTGGTGTCTCTTTAGTAAAATACCAGTCACGTCTGTGTATCAAGGAACCTAACATTTCTCAGCAATCGTATTTTGAGCAGTTACCCCAAAAGTGCTGTATCTTCAAGTCCTCATTTGTGACAAGTGAACCAAGACTTGTTCTAGACTCCTGTTTTGCAAAAGGCTTATTACGTACTTTGAGCTCCTGCCTGTATTTGGATGTCTCGTCTTCATCATCTCACTCTTCACTTACAGCTGCTCCACCAGTAGCAGGTCAGTCCTGGCACCAGCTTGCTGAGCTCAGGATGAGGTGGACGCCAGGCTGGATCACTCCAGCAGCTGGAGAGCTTACCTTTTCTCTTTCGGGCAAAACCACCAGTGGGGTGTGGACAGCCTCAAAGAGTGGTCTATTCCATTGTCAAAGCAGATGGCCCCTTAAGGGCAATTTGTAAAGTGAAAGGTCAAAATCAGTGATGGGACAAAATAAGTTCGTATTTTCTTTAATCATAACTGCTTTAAACTAAGCCATTTGGATCCCGAATGACTTAAATACTGAGCTACAGTGACAAGTAGTCAATTATTTGAGCCCAGGAATGGCTGTAGTTGTCATGGACTCTACAGCTTTATGGAAAAGGCGAAGAATCACCGCCAGGCTTCCTTCCCCACGTGGTCCTCCAAAGTGGATGCTGACTCTGAGAGCCGCCTCGCATGGCACCTGACCAGGTAGACGTGATCACGGGATTCATTTGGCTCCTTGATGCGTCACTCCTCAAACTTATTTTCTGGGTCTTTTATGGCCAAGTTTACTTAAATGAGTTTGTTTTGCTTTTATGGTAGATTTTAATTTCTGGTACTAATGGGATTCCTGGCCATAATTTCTGAAAACCAAAACCTCCCCAGATTTGATTTTTTAAAATTTCATCATTAAAATAAAAAGCACCTGCCATTTGCACTAAGAAAGGAAAGATAATAGGATTGGAAACATTCCTGGCAAATACTTCAGCCCACCAATTCTACAGATCTCTCTGGGCAGACATGTCTGCCAGAGGACACTGGGAGCTCTTATTTTATTTACCCTTGGCCACCAAGCCTTTCCTCCTGAATGTTGTTTCCATTAATTTATTTACTTTTGTGTCAAATGTATGAGCCATTGTCTGCTCAGCCAATGCCACCGTTTCTCTTCCTAATGTATGTAACCACACAGACCCAGTTTTGGTTTCAACTTCCTAGTTTTCAAATATGTATCTTCAAAAGACAACATTGGTGATTTTAGAGGTAGCTTTTTCTGGTTGATAGCATCTACGCATCATGTTTAGCAGATGGGGATGAAAACTGGTCTTAAAAGTCTTTGTAGAATACACACCCATTTACCAAATATTTTTTTATTGCCAAGGTGTCAGTGGCACGACTTGTCTTACACAGAGGTGGGCAGCCCCAGCTAAGCTGGTTCAGTGAGCAAGGCAGCCCTAATTTCCACTGGGCACCATGGTCTCGCTGCCATCACTCACTGACCATGAAACTTGGTTGTGGTTTTCAAGTAATAGGTTGATTTCCTCCTCGTTCAGTACATAAATGTTTTCCTGATATAAAGAGAATAGGATCTGAATGTGGCTGAATGATTTGCTTTGTTTGGGAAATGGGATTAGAAGCAAACACTCCAAGAAAATTGTTAAGGAAAACTCTTTAAAAGCTGATGCAAAACATTTGACTGAATGAAATGTTGCTCGCATCCTAATACCTGCCATTGTCCCTTGAAAACAAACGAAGTGTGGCAACTGCTGACTCTCTGTTCAGTTTGTGATTATACTTCTGAAACAGACCTGAAAAGAAAGTGGAGATTTTGCACTTTTGATACTCTTAGGAACAAATAACTTATTTGGCAAGTGGTGTCCTTTTTATGTTGTTTTTGTTTTGTATTGTGAACAGGCACTAAAGCTGATGTTATTTTTGTTTTAAGAATATTACCGACTGGAAACAAATAAACTATTTTAATGTGTGATGATTACGGGTAGCTCCTGCATCGAGATGATTTATCGTGGACACATTACCAGCAAAACTGAATTTGCATGTAACTCGACAGGTGCTTACAATCAGCACTTGGCGACTGCAGATTTCAGGAAGGACTGTCCTGGAGGGTGTGGCAGCTGGAAGAGCAGATAATGCAGAACAGATTGAGGAAGGGTCTCGGGGGGCTCTTGGGAGGCCATTTCGTGTACCCTCCTGGGCTTTTGAGTGGGAAGTTTATTAGGATCTGCGTGTGACTTTCTTTCAAAGCAGGGGCGGGGGTGAGGAGGCCATTTTGTGTACCCTCCTGGGCTTTTGAGTGGATCTGCGTGTGACTTTCTTTCAAAGCAGGGGCGGGGAACGTCCAGCCCCAGGGCTGTATAAGGACCTAGAAATAATCTGGTCTGACCCTGCCCAGGCAACCGTAGGCGGGACTCGAAATTCAATAAATCTCAGCGCTTTTTTCATAGCAACATAAATTTATATTGAGTGAATTATATTAAGCGAATGATGTTATAAATATCCAGATGGCCTTTGGCAGAAAAGAGGTTCCCCACCCCTGCTTTAAAGGAAGATACTATAGAAATATGGGAGGTTTATACAGTATTATTTCATAGTCTTTTTATTTCATTCCTCCAATTTTTAGATAACTTTGAACTGACTTCTCCATCCCTTCCCCCTTTATCCTCCATCATCTTTCATTAAAGGGAGAAATCACAGCACAAGGGCGGCTGTTTTTTTAAATTAATTCAAACTCCTTAGAAATATTAGCGGTCTGGATTCGAGTTCTGCTTTGTGCCCTGATTTTACAGCCACCACTGACACTTGGAGCAGAAAGTTTTATTGGCACAAACTCTAGTACTGACAGATGCTTAAGAATTGGTCCTTGATGCGATCTGTTATTCGGTGTTGACGAGCACAAGGTTCAGACGACTCTCACTTTGGGGAGAACACACAGCATCTCAAACAGCAGGTTGGCTGCCAGGAGGGCCGTGTTTCCTGCAGAGAAGTAAAACCCAGCGTGAAGACCAGCCCCCAGGCCATACCTCCCAGGACTGCTCACCCCTCCGCCCTTTGTCTTCCTTTTCGGGGTCCCGCTTTCCCTGGCATTCTGCTCCATCAGTCATTTGGAAATAGTACTTTAAAATACAGAAGGTTCTTTGTTTACTCTCAGAACAGATTTTCCCCAAAAGGAAACCTATAACAATGGTGTGTATTGTATTTATTATCATCCTCTGAGGCTAGTAGGCCTAACTGTAAGGTTTTCTAAATTAAAATTATGAGGCTGGCATCTGCTTTGAGCATCTCCTAAGCCAGCTAATTCCCCACTTTATTGATATTAGTAACTATTATTTATCCTTTGGGAATTCACTTTTCCTGAAATATCAGTAGGATGGCCGTGTGCCACCCTGTCACTAAACTGTAGGTTTGTTTCTGCCTTTTGCTGACTGGTGGGCAAGCTAATAATACTCAGCAACCTCCAGGGCTTTTGTCAGGGCTCATTAGCTGTGTCTGTAAGGTGCGCAATAACAGGTTTCTTTTCTTCACTGTAGGGCAGTAATGGCGAACCTTTTGAGCTCGGTGTGTCAGCATTTTGAAAAACCCTAACTTAACTCTGGTGCCATGTCACATATAGAAATTTTTTGATATTTGCAACCACAGTAAAACAAAGATTTATATTTTTGATATTTATTTTATATATTTAAATGCCATTTAACAAAGAAAAATCAACCAAAAAATGAGTTCGCGTGTCACCTCTGACACGCGTGTCATAGGTTCGCCATCACTGCTGTAGGACGTACTCAGCAGGTTCCCGAGTTACACAGAAGGACCCATCCATCTGCTACCTATGAACTAGGTTAATAAAATTTGAACTAGCAGCTGCCGAGGGATCACAGGTTTCTTGTTTACTCACCAAAAGGGTCGTATGGCGGTGAGACTTCCACCAGGTCACAGCCCACCACGTTCAGGCCTTGACAGCCCCGGATGATCTCCAGAGCCTGTCCACAATCAAGCCACGTGGAAATCATTGACCACGAAAACAAACAGTGGACGCCTCAGTGGATTTCTCCCAACACGTGCCCACCTTCCAACTCAAAACTAGTGCTTTCCCTCAGTAAGCATTTACCGACTGCCCGGCACCCTGGTGGCCATCACAGCTGACCGATGCCCAGTCCCTGCTCCAGAGGGCTCCACAGTGTGGTGATGGGGACAAGCAAGCCAATCATTTCAATGTCATGCACTAAGGCAGTGGTCGGCAAACTGCGGCTCGCGAGCCACATGCAGCTCTTTGGCCCCTTGAGTGTGGCCATGAAATTTCAATCGCACTGTACATGCGCTCCCGCACGTGGTATTTTGTGGAAGAGCCACACTCAAGGGGCCGCAGTTTGCCAACCACTGCACTAAGGACTTCAGGAAAAACAAGTGGAGCTTAGGGTAGTAACACGTAACAGCCCGCAGAGGTGGGGAAGGCCTCCCTAAGGTGGAAACACTTAGCGCAATAAATTGACCAAGCAGCTGAGCAGGGGAAGGGCAGCCCAGGCCAAGGGAAAAGGCACCAAGATGAAGAAGTACCCCGAGTCAGAAGAAGTACCCCGAGTCAGACACGGCCGGGAGACAGTGTCAGGAGGGGATGGTAGGAAGAATCGCTTTGTCTCAAGGAGTTTCCATTGTGCAGTTGCAAAGCCCAGAAGGACGAGACGCTGAGGAATAAGGTGTGTGTTTTAGAAATCTCTCCGGTGGGAACGGAAGAGGGAAAAGGCACCAAGATGAAGTACCCCAAGTCAGACACGGCCAGGAGACAAGGTCAGGAGGGGATGGTAGGAAGAATCACTTTGTCTCAAGGAGTTTCCATTGTGCAGGTGCAAAGCCCAGAAGGACGAGACGCTGAGGAATGAGGTGTGTGTTTTAGAAATCTCTCCGGTGGGAACGGAAAAAGGCTTTGAAGAGGCAGTTGTCACTGTCCTTTCTTAGAGGGCATGAGACAATGATTAGGTTTAAGCAACCTTCATTTCCTCACAGGAGAAATTCGAGTACCTACCATTTATATATCAGGCACTATTCTAGGCTCCAGGGACAGGGTAGTGAACCAAAGGCCTGACCTCCTGGAGCTTACCTTCTCACTATAACCACGCTCCAGTCCTGCCTGCCTGCCTTTATGCTCAGCACATCCTATGGGAAACTATTTGGGTAGTTCTAAAACTCTTGAACTACCTTGGTAGCTGGTTAATCCCACTGTGCATACTTTTTTAAAATCTAACCCCAAAATGTCCTTGAGAGGGGTACTACCATATGGTTCCCATGGACCAACTACTGCAGAACCAGCAGCAGGAAAATCAAATGAAGAACTGTAATATCCCGATAAAAAAACGAGGGCCTTGGCTAAAACCCAGTCCTCAGCGAGTCAGTATTCAAACCTAGGGTGGCCCCGAGGACAGTAAAGGCCTACATGCTCTGCTTTTAAAACCCTATCCTGGGAGGGAAAAGGGGATACATGTAATACTTTCAACAATTTTTTTTAATCACTACTGTAAGAAAAGAAAGAAAGAAAAAAAACATATCCTGATTCCTGAAGACTCACCACAAGGCCCAGAAAAGTGGGGCGTTAAAAATCCTCACCCCCACGAATGGTCGCGGGTGGAGCCTCCGTACCTGACTAGGGGTGAGACCAGCAATTTCCGGTGTCCCTGTCCCTGGGGCATAGGCAGGATCCAAGCCGTCAATATCAAAGCTGATATACATGGGTTTGCCTCCCATCTGCTGCCTCACTTCGGCCATCAGAGGGACCAGCGACTTCATCCAGCAGTCTTCAGCCAGCACCACCCGGAAGCCCTGGGGATGGAGGCACGGAAGAGTGGGAGGTCAAGGCTTCTGCAGGGCACACTGCCTGGGCATTTCCTCCCGGCCAACCCCATGCTAAGCACTACGTACCCATCATATTGGACCCTGAACCTTCTTGAGGAGGGAACTACCACCCCCATGTTACAGGTGAGGAATGAAGGGACGGTGACGGGCAAGGCAGGGAGAAAGTCAAAGCTGACCTATGGAGACGGGATCAGAGAGAAGCTTGGCGAAAGCAAGAGTGAGACGCTCAGGCCAGCTCCCTCGAGCACTTCCTGCACAGCTCTGTCCAGAAGACTGGCCTTTGCATGGGGCCTTGGGCTTTTCCTGTTGGCTCTTGTCGTATGTGTTCGCCTGGGAGCCACTCTGCCCAGCGGGTATGAAGAGGAGAACTAAGGGGTCCCCTCGCCTCGGGTTGGGACCTCCCCAGCTCTTTTCCAAGACAGCAACATCCCAGGGTTTGGTTCGTCTCTGCTAGTCCCCTGACCCCAGCAACAGGAGGCCTCCTCTGCCTCGTGAACCAACATCCTCGCTCCTCTCTGCTGGACATGACCCTCTGGGGGTAAAAGCCTTCCTCCCCTTTTCTGAACTTGCTATTAAAGCCCCTCTGGAGTCCATGGCTGCCACTGAGTGAGCAATGGAGAGGAAGGCACTGTGCAGGCGGGGGACAGAGGGAAGGGCATGCAGTCTGTCACCTGGTTCCGGCTGTATCTGTAGGGTTCCACAGTCGTAGAAGAGCCCCTGATGCCAATCTGTACGACGCGCTTACAGTCCAGAAGTTTCTCCTCCACGCACCGGCGGAAGGGGGTCCCGTGATAGAGCTTCTCTCCCAGGGCCTTGTCAGCCGTGTCCATGTGAGCATCCACGTGCAGCAGCCCCACAGGGCCATGCCTGGTGACAGCAGGGCAGCTCAGGGGCCAGGCCTCCTCACAGGGACTGAGCACAGCCACCCTCCAGGCCACCAAAACTTGATGAGGGTGCGTAGCCAAGGAGGGGAGACCTGGCAACAGTTACAGGCCTTGCAACTGGTTCCTGTCTTCAAATGACTTCGCATCTCAGAGCAATAAACTCAGACAAGTCAGGCCGAAAATAGACATGTGCTTCAGCTGCCACCTACTACCTATCACCCAGAATTGCCTCACTTACAGATGGAGAGAGCTGGGCGGGTGACAACGAAGGGTGAGCTCAGCTGCCATCCTCCAGCTGGAGCCCCGAGAAGCAGCCTGGACCCAGCTCTCTCGCCATCATCTTCATCAACCCTGCTAGCCACCCAGAAGAAATACATAATCCAAAGCTAGGCAAACGCAGCCTCGAGAAAAGACTGTACCCACCCACCCCCAAATCAGAATTCTACCCACATGTCTTCCCCCTCTATGAATTCTGGGAGCTGCCACCAACGTGGCCCATCTGTCCCTTTCTCAAACTAATTCACAGATAGTCAATCCCTGGTAGACTTCTGCTACTGGGAAAGCCAGCTTCTCCCAGCTTTTCTGGGGGAGGGGCCCTTGCAGGGAAAAACCCAGGGCCCCTCCTCCGCAAGCAGCACCACTGAGCCTGTCAGTGTTTAGGGTTGGCCTTTGAGCAAAACAGAAACAAGTTAACTGGGGTTTGGGGCTCATCTTCCCCAAACAGAGGCAAACGCTGAGCGTGCATCCCAGAGCGGACCCAGGCCAAGGGCAGGCGGCCAGAAGTGTTAATAATAGTCTTGGCTTCTAGCTGGTGACTGACAGGGACACCTGGAGCCCGACCTTCGCTTTGATTCACAGCAGCGACTCAGTCCGGGAAGGTCCAATCACCCCCAATAACTTGAGCCAGCAGAGGTCACCTGATGCCATCTAGCAGCAAACAACTCATTTCCCAGCTCCTGAGTTTTGAAACCTTGCTTGGGCCCAGGTAGTTGGGACTTACTTTTTTGCCATGGCTTGCAAGATAGGATATGTGATTGTGTGATCTCCACCTGCAACGAGAAAAAAGAAAACATCTGGAATGTGGATAAGAGTAGAGGACTGTGTGTTACACAGAACAATCCTCAACTTGCCCACTTCTGCCACCCTTTCTCTTAGACTGAAGAGCTACCACCCCAGCTAAAATAAGATTTTGTTCCGTGAGGGAAGGGACCCTGGGTGTTTGAAATTACATTGTCATTTAAAAGAAGAAATTAAATTAAGGCTTACAAGTAGAATGCCCACAACTGCTCTGTCCAATAGAACTTTCTGCAATGAATGGACATGTTCTGTAAATGCACTGGTCAATATGGCGGCCACCAATCACGTGTAGCTATTAAAATGGGGCTCATGCAACTGAGGAACTGAATTTTTATTTTAATCAAAGCAATAATTAATAATTTATTAATTATTTAAATAATAGTTTAAGTTACTTTTAATTTAAATAGCCACATGCAGCTAGTGGCTACGGTATTGGATAGCACAGGCCTAGAAAAGTATTCCTATGCATACCTATCATCATAATAGGCAACATTTATTGAAGCTCTAACTGTGCCAAGCACAACGCTGGGCTATTTGTATGAATTTTCATTACATGTCTCTCGCATAACAGAAAGTGGTAGATGTTGTTATTATTATTCCCATTTTGCAGATGAGGGAATGAGGCCTAAATAGCTAGCGGTGGAGCTGAGATTTCAAACCAGGCCATCCAGAAACCACTATGCTCCTCAGGCTCTCTTTGGCAAGCATTAATTTTCTATCCCCAAAAAGGTCTGTGTCATTTTAACTGTTTGTGAACCAGAGAGAAGTAAATGCTACAATGAGAGTGGGCGAGGTAGGGGAGGGGAAGGGAAAGCTTCCGGATACATTGGTGGAGACCCTGCCAAGGAGGAAATCACCCTGTTCTCTCAAAGTCATTAACACAATGTCCTTGAAATCGTTCAAAAGTCACACCGAGCCCCTGTTGGCAGCCTTCCCCAGGCCTGGGATCCAGGGCTGGGACAAAGGTGAAGTGGGTGAGGTAGGTGATGCAAAATATAAGAGATGCCGAGAAACTCAGTAATCAAGATAAATACTCTTTTAAGGTAACATTAAACAAAACAAAATTTCATGAAAGAAAAAAAAAAACAAAAAAACCCTGATCCTGTCTCCCAGGCCCCTTTTCTCTGACTTTCCAGTGAGCCCAAGCAGCCCCACCTGGATTCACCTGTTGCTTTGTCTATTGTAAGCCCCTCCTTGCTTCACTGTCCCCAGCTTTAACAAACACACTTAAAAAAAAAAGAATCCATGGCAAATTTTAAAGAAAGATGGGACCAGTAACTGTTCTGTTCTAAGCCATAGAGGAGCCTGAGGCAAAAAAGGAAAACCAGTAATACTGTTGCCTTTTGGGGCACCCCTTAAATTTTGCACAGAGGCGAATGCCTCACGCTAACCTAATCCTGTCTGTCACACCACTCCAACATTTAAATACCCTCTCCCCAGGGACTGAGATACAGGAATTAATAATGGACTCCATGCTACTGTCCCCACATTCCCCGGGGCTTGCCCTGGAGAAACAGCTGTGTTGGACCACAGGGTAAGCTATCCCTGAGCACAGCGCGCTGCCCTTGCCCTTGCAGATGCCATTACCCAAGGTCAGAGGCACACAGCCGGCAGCCACGATTTTCTGATAGGCCTCTTGAATCAGGCGGCAGCTGTCCTGAAGGTTGTAAAGATTGACATTCACATCGCCTAGGTCTGCAACCATGAGGGACTGGAAGGGGAGGGCCCCCGTGCTGGGGTTGATTGTCCGAAGCATCACTGATTCCTCCCGGATCCGCCGGGGTCCAAATCTGGAAGAAGATGGAGCGTCCTGTGAGCATCCCTAAAGGCTTAGCGGCCCCATCTAGGTAGGGGCTTCTCAGCCTCGGTACTGGTGGCATCTGGGGCGGGGTGTTACGGGGCCCATCTTGTGCGTTGTCGGAGGTTTAGCAGCATTCCCGGTCTGTTCCCACTAGATGCCAGTAGCACCCCTTCCTGCAAGTTCTGACACCCAGAAATGCCTCCAGACTCTGCCAAAAAAAAAGCCCTGGGGGCAAAACAACCCTGATCAAGAATCACTGTTCCCGGATGCATAGTGAAGAGATTAAAGGTGGGGGACATGTAATATTCTCAACAATAAAGATAGATTTTTTTTAAAAGAGAGAGAGAGAGAGAGAGAAAATAAAGGCACAGATTTAGGAGCCCACCCATCACCAACTTCCTAAGTGGTAGTGGATAATTTCCTAACCTGTAGAACAATGACAATATTTACCTTCCCTCATTGTTGTGAGTTAAATGAAATTACCTATGCCAAGCGCCATGCACTTGGTAGACTTTTAATAAAGTGGCATTTATCATATAGCCCAGCAGTCAGATGTATTGCTGCTGAGCTGAACCAGAAATAGCTGAAGCTCAATAATTAGGACAATGAATTTTACTGCCTCTGACTTGAATTTAGAAAAAATTGCTTTAATTTGTGCAATTCTTTTTTTTTTAATTGATTGATGAGAGAGAGAGAGAGAGAAAGAGAGAGAGAGAGAGAGAGAGAGGCATCAGTTTATTGTTCCACTTATTTATGCATTCACTGGTTGACTCTTGTATGTGCCCTGTCCAGGGGATGGAACCTGCAAGCTTTATCAGGCCTCTCGCTTTAAGCAACTGAGCTACGGGCCAGGGCCTTGATCTGAGCAATTCTTGCAGCAGGTGACCTCTAGGGTTTGAGGCAGGGTCAGCCAGTTCTGCCTGCGCAGATGGACCCTGCCCCTGTGCGCTGGCGTCATCCCCAGCCTCCATCCCCGCCAGGCGGGGGGTCATGGCAGGGAGAGGCTCGGGCCGGAGAACCCCTTTTCTTTACCAGTGGATACCAGTCATGCTTGATACAGAAAAACGGAAATCCACCCTCAAGCGATGAGGGGCCCTTTGGAGCCAGGCGCCAGCTCCAACCTGACCCCGGTGAGCAGAGGCCCCCGTGCGTTCTCCAGCCACGTGTCCCTCAGTCCTGGGGCCTTACCTCGCCCCGGGCCGGTTGGAAGTCCCCGTGTCCAGGGGCACCCCGACGAAGGCGGCGTCCAGCCCCTCTGGGGAGGCCTGCACCGGCAGCCGCATCATGG